CCGGCCCAGAACCTGCGTGCGGTGGGGCCCCAAACCTGCACTGGGAGCGCGCGTGCGCTGGACAGAGCCTTCCTGACCTTCCCTGCCCCTAATCAGGACATCTGCGCCCGCTTCCCTCAGGCTGGGGAGTGCGGGGATCTGTGCAGTTTGTTCTGCCCTCGGCCCGTCCCAGCGCCCAGCATCACTGGGAGGTACAAAGAAGGCTCCTAATGGGTGTGCGAACCACATGGCAGGGCAGGGCACCTCCTACAGCAGTGACAGCTCCTTTTCGTGCGCGCTGCCTCACACCTGTCCAGACTGGGCGCTTTCAAGCACTTCTGGTTCCATCCGCGCCCCGGAAAATGCTGGGGTGCTGGTCTGCATTTCCCAGCTGAGGCAACTAAAGCCAGAAAAAAATAATATGCAATATATGAAGGAGCCGAGTTCCCCCAACCTCCCCAACCACTGAACGGCTCTGTGTGCCCTTTCGTGGGAGAAGAGGGGGGCGGGGAGGCGGGAGACTGGAGACCAACAGAGACCTTAGCAACACAAGCCCTAGTGTCGCAACAGCAGGCCAGTAAACGAAGCTGCATTGGGCTTGGGGCAGCCAGAGTTCCTTTTGCCTATGGAGCGAGCGGCAGCCTCAGGCCCCAGGCCAGGGGCCCCATCTCAGGCCATTAAGAATGTGAGTCCTCCCGGGATGCTGCTGCTTCTGCCTTGGGGTTGGGGTCCTCCCTGACCCCTCAGGAACATGTCCTGGGCCTGATCCTTGGCATGGGCCTGGCTTCCCCATCAGCTAGGCTGGGTATGTGGGGGTAGATGTGGGTGTGTGGGGGTTACAGCCTAGGCCTGAGACCCACCTGTGGGATGGGTGGTGGTTCCTCCCCAGGTTCTACCACTGACTGAGGATTCGCTGCCAGGAGTCCCTAGGGACGCCCCAGCCTGGGTCACCAGTCTTAAGACAGAGCTTCCCTCAGATCTAGAACTGAGTGAGGAGCAACGGCTGCAAGTGAGTATAGGGGCCCTGGGAGCTAGCAGGAGGGGGGTGCCCACAGGATCCCATAGGTACCACCTCTCACCCCGGCCACCCACAGATCTCCAAGGAGCTGGTCGACCTGCAGATCACAACCCATCGTCTGCGGGAGCAGCACGAGACTGAAATCTTTGAGCTGAAGAGTGAGGTGGGCGCTGACGTGTGCCCACATATGCCAGCCCAAGTCCTTGGCGGGATGTGTACCTAGGACCAGTGCTATGGGGGGTTGCAGGTGTGCCCCTCGTGACGGGTGACAGGGTTCTCACAGAGTACCTGAGTCCCTGAATGTCCCGCACGCGCTGTGTCCACGTGTGCCCAGATGGATGTTCATCTGGCCCAGCAGGCAGGTGCACCTGCTCACCCTGGTCACCCCACAGGTCCTGCGGCTGGAGAACCGGGTGCTGGAGCTGGAGCTGCATGGAGATCATGCAGCCTCAGCAAAGACTGATCCAGGGCACCTCCAGGCATTTGCACAGGAGCTTGAGCAAAAGGCCAGGGATCAGGAACACTGCAACCATCGCATTCTTCAGGTCACCATGAGCACATGGAGGGCCTAACTGGGTGGGAGCCAAGTAAGGGGTGCAGCAGGGGTGCAGTGAGGCTGGGACCCACTCTCCTGCACAGGCACAGCCCAAGGACTTCCAGGCTCCTGAGAATGAACTGCAGAAGCTGGGAAATGGCATGAGTGTGCAGTCATCTTGCCCGGCGCCTGCCCACGTTTCTCCCAGCCCAGGGCTGGAGTGGGGCAGTGCAGGGGAGCCAGAGCTTGGGGTGTCATCCAACCAGCTCTATGTACCCCACAGCTACAGGGAGAAATGAAGTGGATGCTGGAGCAGCACGGGGCCCGCCAGCAAGCACTGGAGATGCGCGTGTGAGTGGCTGCCTTACCTGGCACAGGGCACGCAGCAGCTGCTCCAAAGGGGCAGAGAGAGTCCCCTATCCTGGGCCTCACTGAGCCTCACACCCATGTCTGCAGGGCAGCCCTGGGCCAGCAGCTGCAAGGAGCCCAAGAGGAGGCCAGGACAGCTGGGCAGCGACTGGCTGCACAAGCTGTGGTGAGGCCCAGTTATACCCATTTGAGATCTGGGGGACAGGGTCCTATAAGCTTAGTAGAGGACCACCTCGAGGAGCATAGATTCAAGGCTGCCTCCATCCCCAGGCGTTGTCCACCTGCCAGGGCCAGCTCCGCCAGGCTGAGGCTGAGAATGCCAGGTTGCAGTTGCAACTCAAGAAGATGAATGAGGAGTACACCATCCGGCTGCAGCGCTACTCCCGAGCCCTGGTGGTGAGCACTGAGCAGGGTGGCACTGTGGTGGGTGAGAAGCCCCTGGGTCCTGGGGAGCCCAAGACTGGCCTGGGTTTGCTGAACTGTTTCAGGGACCCTCTGGGCCTCACCTACTACATTGAAGAATCTGCTCCACACAGGAGCTGTGGGGAAGGGTGTGGGCCCTACCAAGCTCAGGCCCCACCCCATCTCCTCCAGGAATACGCAGATGGCACAAGCCAGGCACCTACAGGTGTAGCCCTCCAGACATTCCTGGAGACCACTCTGGAGGACATCCGAGCAGCACACCACAGCCGTGAGCAACAGCTGGCCCGAGCTGCTCGAGTCTACCGTAAGCGCCTGGCAGACCTGAGCCAAAGACATGAAGAACTGTTAGGTGCCCACAGGTAGGCCCTTCCCTTCCCCTGAGATGGGCATCTGAGGTGGGGTGGCTCTACATGACCCCCCAGCTGGTTTAGTGTGCAGCAGGTGCTGGCGGACCCCAAAGGAGCACCTGGGAAACCCAAGGCCACCTCTGATGAAGTCACCTCAAACCTGGAGCCACTGCCTCTGCGCCTGGTCACACAGCTCCAGAAGCTCCAAGTCCAGGTGACCCATCACTGCTGCTCCACACTGGCCTTGGGGCCCCGAGCCCAGAACTCACCCTGCGGCCCATCCCAGGCTCAGCAGAGCCCCCGCTCCAGGGCCTCTGAGCAGCCCGCCTTGTTCAGCTGACTGAGAATCCCTATCACGCAGCTTATCACAGAGGGCTCAGCGCACTGTTCTTTTTCCCACAGAAGAGACCTGACGAAGCCTCCCAGGGGAGCGCATCAGAGCCACAGTGAGTGCCCGGATGTGGGTGTCGGGGGGACCTGCAAGGGGGTACTCACTTATTCTAACGAGTCTTAACTGCTGGGTGGGGTTCTGGTTGCAGCAGTGGAAATGGTGGGTCTGTGCCCTCCCTCAGGTCTGTCTGTATGGGAGACACTAATAATTACAGAAAAGCCAAGTGCCCGGGGTGAAGAGGGGCCCTGACGGGAGAAGGGCTGTCCTAAAGGGAGGGTTAGGGAGAGCCCAGGGAAAGATGTTTCAGTTGAGCCAAGGGACAGGGCAGGAGCAGGTTACCTGGTGCCCTTCACAGCCTTGCCTCTGGGCCCCATGCTTCCAACAGTGCAATGAGCAGGGGTAATGCAGGCCCACCTCGCAGGGTTTTGGGAAACCCCCAGCATAGGGGGAGGCCCCCTCAGCACCCTTACAGACACTGGGGCTGCTTTCCAAGCTGGCCTGGGGCCCTCTTGACCTGGGCTGCCCTGCCCCCCATGCACAGATGGCTCCCATAGTGGCAGGGTGGGCCCTTGCTGTCCTGAACTTGCCCCCAGCAGGCACCTCAAGTATTTAGGTGCCCCGACTTGAGCAGTGCCACTGGTCAGCTCCTGGGCCAACACCTGCCCTCATGTCCACCCCCCCTTCTTCTCTCACAGGAGCCTGGAAGCTGAATCCTGGGCCCAGATCCACCAGAAACTCCGGGACTTCTATCATAGCACCCAGGTAGTGAGGGGGCAAGGTGTGGCCGGGATTCCGTCCTCATACTCTGTTCTGGCTCATGCCTTATGCCCCTCCAATGTCAGGCAAAGCTGGAACGTGAGCGGGCAGAGCTGCTAGTCAGAGCCACGATGGCTGAGGCACAACTTTCTGAGCTTCAGGAGTATGTGGACCAGCACTTAGGCAGGTAAGCTTTCGGAAAAGTGGGATGGGTGTGGATCTCAAACACTAGAGGCAGGGCTTGTCCATGGCCTGGCAGATTACTAAGGCTGGTCCCTCTGAACAGGTACAAGCAGGAGATCCTGAGGCTGAGGAAGCTGGTGGGTCCAGGAGAACCACAGAAAGTGAAGGCCGTACCTCCAACCAAGCCTCAGCGCCCAAGGACCCACAGCCGCTAACCAGTATCAGATAAACTCGGAGCACACCTCTTCCCGGCCAGCAGGGCACCCTCCCCACAGCCCCAGCTTGGGAAGTCATTGAACCCAACCCTCCACACAACAAGAGTCAGGTGGAGCCTACTGAGTCTTTATTGTAGCCACAATGCAATGGTCAGCCAGCCTGAGGGTCAGGGGCCCTAGGGACCAAGGCAGAACTGGGTGCTGGGGCAGCCTGCCCACCTGGCCCACCACCATGGACGTCATAGGCCCAGACACGGTCCAGGCCCTCACCCACCACAGCCACAGGCTGCCAGGTGGGGAGGGGGAAGCGTCCCGACACCACGCGGGCCCCCTCAGGTAGTTCTGCCTGTAGCTTTCCCTCCAGCAGTGGGAGCTGTGGGAGAGAGCAGGAGTGGGGTGGGCAGGGCGGAACACAGTGCCCCCTCCCAGCTCCTCCAGGCCCAGCACACACACTGGTGGCCTGGCCTCCCCTGGGGCTACCAAACCCTACACCTACCACGCTGGGGGCCAGGAACACACACACGTTGTGGCAGTCCCTCAGGCTCACCTGTGGGAAGAGGAGGTCACCCCAGTAACGAATGGAACTCCAGCCCTGGAAGCGCTCTAGTGGGCATGGGGTTACCTCAGCTTCGGAGTGCAAGCCCCAGCTTGCCCAGGAGGCAGGGACACCTGGGGCTGTCAGCAAGGTCGCCACGCCAGAACTGAAGCGTGGAGATCAGGTGTGGGGTCTGAAGGAGTCCAGGACTCCCCAGGTTACCTTCCAGAGATCCTCACGGTGGTAGCAGACACTGCCGGCACAGCCTGCCCTCCAGGCATGCAGCCTGGCCAGACCCACCAGCCACGGGTTCAGTTCATAGCCCACAGCGGGGCGGAGACCGCATCTGTGGGCAGCCAGCACCTGTGCGCACCAACAGCGTCAGAACCGGCATGTTGGGAGAGAGCAGGGAGCGTGGCCCCCGCCCCGCCCCCCACTGCTTACAATCCTGCCATCGCCAGAGCCCAGGTCCACCAGCTTTCCAGAACGGCCTCGCAGCAGCGACAACACGTGCTCCACCTGCCGCACACTCGCCCCAACATAAGGCACCTGGGCAAGGAGACATGTGGCTGGGAGGGCTGGAGTCCATTAGCCACTCAGGCTCTTCACACGCCTGGTCCCCTAATCGGAATCATACTGGTGGCGGGCGGAGCCTGCCTCCTGGGCTCCTTTCTTCGCATGAGCTGCCCTGCCCTACCTGACACAGGTCCCAACCCACAGCCCGGCTGGCCCCTAGGCAGCACCCACTCCGCTCACCACAACCGGACTCAGCGACTCAATGCAGGCCCCGCCCCCAGCCCTGGCCCCGCCCACCGGCCG